TGACTTGCATATTTGTAAAAAATTCTTTACAAACAAATATAAATCAAAAATACATAAATCTATTAAAGATTTACCTATTTTCTTATATTTCTCCCTAAAAAAATGGTGAACATAGCCAGAAGAATAGGAAAAAATGGACTGTAATAATGTGGTTATATTTTAATTACCAAGCATGAATTAATGTACTATGTTATTGGTAATTGAATTGGGACAGTTTTGAAAATGATAAACAATAAAAACATGTTTCTGTAGTCAGTATCCTTATCAGTGGATGTGTGGATAGTGGTCACTACACTATCTTTCCCAAGAAGTCATAGCAATTCATAGATAATAAATAAAAAAATCTGTGAAAATCCATGATCATCTATGATCTGGAGGGACATGGCATTAAAAAATCCTTATTTATGCACACATAGATATATATATTTAGGGGACCTGTTGACAATGGTGCACAGACTGAACACTACTAATTTTGTAATATTTTAGACAAGACAGGTGCCAAGGAACAGAATTTTCAAACCAGTCCACTTTAGGGTAAAAAAAAAAAATGGCAAAATAATAGATAGACAGGGAATTGAAGCTTTTTTCAAATAATTTTCATCCTTTCTTAAATATCAAAATTTTTATTAAAATCCAAATTAGTTGGTCTTTTGGTAAACTAAGGTGTTTTTCACCTAAAAATTTGTTAGTACAAATTATTATGATTATTATTTAATCCCATTGAAGTAGGATTCCACTACTAAGAAATTTTTTACAATTATTATTAAAAGTGGTTTTCCCATGTTTTTACTCACCACCTCCTTTCAATCTCTGTGTCATAACCAAAGACAAAAGAATTTTTAGCAAGGTATCTGGTGATGCATTATATATATATATATATATATATATATATATATATATATATATATATGAGGGTAAGTCAAAAATTATTTTCATTTTCACCATAGCATATTATCTTTAGACAAGGGAGTGGATAATTTTGACTTTCCCTTGTATGTATATATATATATATATATATATATATATATATATATATATATATATATATATATATATATATATATATATATATATATATATATGATGTGATGAGAATGAAAGTAATATATAAATTCCACTGTTTTCAGCAATAATCCAAAAGAGGTCTCGATACCGATAGTAGAGCAATAATTATTTTATATATATATATATATATATATATATATATATATATATATATTATAAATAGACAAAAGTCCAACAATTATTTTAAGACATTTTTTATGTTTATCTATAAAAGAATGTATGAACATAAAAAATGTCTTAAAATAATTGTCGGACTTTGTCCATTTCATAATGTGTGACGTTATTTGTTTACATTTGGATATGCTTTGAGCAGATATAAATGTACGTGAGAGATTCATGGAAGAATGAAGTTTAAAAACAATAAAATCGACCTTGCTAATTGAATGATTCTCCGTGGCTTGATTGGTTAAGGCCACATAAGATACAGGTTTGATTCCTGTCAGAGAATGAATATTTTCTATGAAAATTTCTCAGACATTCAGGCCGGTAAATGTTATTAATAGTGTTTATTATAAAACAGAGCATTTACTTAAATATTTGTATGTATAAAAAGAATGTATAAACACAAAAATGTCTTAATATATATATATATATATATATTTATATATATATATATATATATATATATATATATATATATAAATATATATATACATAGGTCAAAAGTTTGGGACAACTCTTTGGATTTAATAATTAGTACATATACATTAATTGAATTAATTAATTCCTATGAAGCTATGATGCTGAAACTATTTGACTAATTAGTACTCCAATATTTTAGAGTCCAATATTATAATGAAAGTGAAGACATTTTTTTTTGTTCTTGAGAATTAATAACAAAAATATTAATCACTATTTATTTATTAGATTGTTTATTTACAAGAATAATTTTATATTTACAACATTCTAAAAACTAAAATAATTAAAAGTAATGCAATGCAATATTTATCATTTACCAATTTATAAAGAAATAAGTATAAAATTTTTTTATTCATAAATTTATAAACATTTACTAAATTATTAAAATATGTGAATCAACTATAAAAAAATCTTTATTATTTACCATTTTATAAAGTTCAAATTAATTGGCAATTAGCTGATGTTTTGCCAACTAATCAAAAAAAACAATATAATAAATAAATAGTGTCTATTATTTTTATTATCAATTCTTAAGAACAAAGAAACTGTATAAATTCACTTTCATATGTTTAGGTTTAATACAATTCTAATCATTGTTTTTAAAACAATAAACATTGCTGAGGAGTGAAGGTTATTAAAATAATAGTAGTGTCAATGGAAAAACTATCCTTTTGACACTGTTTTTTTTTTTTTCAGAGAGGATGGTCCAAGTTTGCTACTATGTCATTGATTACTTTAGAATTTATGGTTATAGTTCAGATATTTTTTTTGGTTGATTGATTTTATGACATATCATCCACAATAGAATATTTTAAGCATCTTAATATTTTGATTTGTATTAAAGGTAAAAAAGCTTTCAAATTAAGTAGGAAATTTTAGTATAAAAATCTTAACTTCTTGAAGTATTTAAATATTAAAAACACCTATTTACATGAGACTTCAAATATATAAGCATAAAAAAATAATCTACTTCAAGGTAAAGTGGCCTAAATTTTGACTACATGTAAATGTGTTTCCAAGATGGTGGGAAAACAGAAAAGCTAGGTCACTTGGAGAAAATGAAAGAAACAGAGAATGAGAAAGCAAAGCAACAAAGACATGAATCAAAGAGCATAAGCAATTGATTGTCAGACAATTCTGACTAACAAAAATTGTCTCAAGAAGAAGAGGGAAACAAAGAAGGAAATTTCTCAGAAAAATCTGCAGTTGATTGTTGGTTTGAATCTTGACTGAACTACTACTGTTTGTATGTGAACAAAATATTTAGTTTCTCTCTGAATTTCTGCGATGAGGAGTTATCATTATTTACACTATTTACACATATACTATTGTCTTCATCTTCGTTTTTGTTATCACAACATCAGGCTAACTTAGATGGAATTCTGAACTGAACCCTTTATTTAATTTATAGAGTAGACTGTTCTTGTTCCACTGCCCATGTCTAGGGATTTCTTGTCTAGTTCTTATTTTTAGTATTGCTCCAGTTATTGCTCACCTTGTTCTCCACTGAGTCCAAATCTTTTGTCACTGAATTCATGAACCAACTCTTTCATCTACTAGGCTATTATTGTCCTGTGGGACAGTTCTCTGTGGAGAAACACTTTTCCTACTTGTTTGTATTCTTACATTTATACACTTTGTGTTCCATTAAATGAGAAATGCTCAATGGAGATGACACAGTAGTAGCAAGTGGACCCAGTAAAATTTTTGGGAACTTTTTTGAACAATACATTGACCATTTTTTTTCACTATCTACTGCCATCTTTACGACAGCTTCTTAATTCCATCCTCCCAAAACTTTTACCTTTCTCACTAAACTACTCTCTGTACCTTTTGCAGTCTTCCAAGGAATTGATTTTTTTTCATTAAAACAATTCTCTGAAAAGTGGAAAAATGCTAATCCAAAAATGAATATATTAGATGAATGAAAACTTCCCAACCAAGCTGTCATATTTTTATTGAGCTAAAAATATTTTGCAAAATTTTTTTAAAAAAATAAAATATAAACAACAACAGCCATAGACAAAGTCTTTAAAAAAAATAGTATTTTGAAAAAATTAAAACAAGGAAGTTTTAAGGAAAACAGAAACAAAAAAGATACATGCTTAGTATCCAAAAGAAACCGTATAATTTCTGGGAGGTATCATGAGGAAAGAGGACTTGGAGAATTTGATACTCACTGAACATATTGAAGGCAAGAGGGACAGAGAGAAACAGCATGTATCCTACCTAATTAGTTTGTGTAAATGAATGACAGAACAGAGAGGACTTGGAGAATTTGATACTCACTGAACATATTGAAGGCAAGAGGGACAGAGAGAAACAGCATGTAACCTACCTAGTTAGTTTGTGTAAATGAATGACAGAACAGAGAGGACTTGGAGAATTTGATACTCACTGAACATATTGAAGGCAAGAGGACAGAGAGAAACAGCATGTAACCTACCTAATTAGTTTGTGTAAATGAATGACAGAACAGAGGACTTGGAGAATTTGATACTCACTGAACATATTGAAGGCAAGAGGGACAGAGAGAAACAGCATGTAACCTACCTAATTAGTTTGTGTAAATGAATGACAGAACAGAGAGGACTTGGAGAATTTGATACTCACTGAACATATTGAAGGCAAGAGGGACAGAGAGAAACAGCATGTAACCTACCTAATTAGTTTGTGTAAATGAATGACAGAACAGAGAGGACTTGGAGAATTTGATACTCACAGAACATATTGAAGGCAAGAGGGACAGAGAGAAACAGCATGTAACCTACCTAGTTAGTTTGTGTAAATGAATGACAGAACAGAGAGTGGGAAGGATAATAGGGTGACAAACTTTCCTAAGAACTGCAAAGGATAGGAAATTGCAGAGAGACATAATTGCACACATTATGTTGAGACATGGTGCATAAAAGAAGAGAAATTATCAAATTTCCTCAAAACCATCAAAGTTTGAATCATCAGATTCTGAGGAGGAAAAGTTCAAATCAATGAAAAATAGTTTTGTTCATGTCAATGTTTTTGTCTAATTTGTTTCATTTTTACTGTTGATTTTTAAATATATTTAATCATCACTGGGTAACCCCTGACTTTAAGCCAGGTTTTATGGCCTTCCCCAGGTGTACAATCCATTTAGAAAGAGTTGGGGTCTTTTGTTTAAGTAGGGCAAACCAGACAATGGTAGAAAATATACTGAAGAGATGAATGCCTGATGTCAAATGTCACAGCAACAAAAAGAATAATATTTATAGTTCAAACAACTCTTAAATTGATTTATCTCAAAATGACATTGTACTCACTAATTGTGATATCATTATGGTCATCAGTTTCTGCTCCATCCCCAACATCAGCCACAATTGTTTCTTGGCTTTCACTTCCAATGGATGGTGCTGGCACTAAGAGTTCTGTGAATCGGCTTTCAAAATCTTCAGTTCTTATAGAATCAGTATCACTGATACCATCAGATTTGCAATCAGGATTTTCAGCAACACCTGAAAATTAAAGAAATTATTACAAAATTCAAATGAAAAATAAGAGCAGATTTTTTTAATTGAGTACATTATTATAAGCAATTATTACAGTATGTAAAGTTTTGCTTGCATCTAAACTTAAGGTAATTCTTCATATCACATAGTATGTAGAGTCAGTTGTTCATCTATTTATAAATTAAATGACACTCAAAATTTATAGAAAATTTGATTTTTCCAGCTTGGAAACTGCTGATGAAATATCTTGTGAGAAATTTCTTTATCCATTAATAATGGATGAATTATAATGCAAAGAATATGTGAATATAATCATAAAGTGGAATTGTTAAGTTGAATTCAAATACTGGCCTAGCCGGTGGCATTTACTTTACACAAATGACTTTGGGAAAATCATGAATTGATTTATTCTCCCCATCACAGTTATGGGTTAAATAGTAGTATAGACTGACCTCTCAAGACTTGGGTGTCAACTAGTTTAAGAGAAGAAAAACTCTGAATTCCAAACCATGGAGAAGGCAATGAGGAATCCCATATCTTTTCCAAGAAGGTATGATAATGGTAATATTAGCCATTTCCTTATAAGGAAACATTCAGCATTCACTGAATGAGCATCCAGTGTTGCCGTCAGTTGAAATTTATAAAATTGTTCTATTAAAACATTTTTTCAGGAAAATAGATTTCCCAAGTCCAGTAGCTGTTATCACTTTTTCTGCGGCTTCCTTCCTAACTTGTTATTTGAAGTAGTATAGAATGTCAAAATCTTGATTATATCATTACTTTCTCTTTGAGTTACATGTCATATCCATTTTACCTGTTGCAGCTGTTGAAAGTCCTCAACTGATGTAGTTTCTGCTATCTGATATAGTTCTTTTTTTTGTTATTCTGTAGTGCATTGTTCGAAGAAGGATGGTCTTCAGCAAGACCTACAGGCTTCACTTCTAATTTCATTTCTAACCACCGATCTTAGGAAGTGGTTGCATACAGCTGACAGTTGAGATAATTCTGAAAACATTTGGCACCATGAGTGACATCTATATGAAGGTCTTGATCTGACAAGACTATTTAAGAATATGAGTTTTCAGGTTAATGTTTTGGTTTTTTTAGCACTTTGCAGTGTTGATCAGAACTAACTCTAGCACAATTTATTGTATGTTCAATTTCTTTTTCTCCTATGCTAAATTTGTTATAACGGATCAATATCCCACAATATTTGAAGTGTTTGGTATTTACTAATTCTATATCCTGAATTTTTATGATGGATTCAGGTTAGGTGTTGATGTGACACTTGGACCTCAGGGAGTTAATCAGAAGAAAGAAAAAGGATGTGAGGAGAGATTACTAATTGGATGATAATTGTTGAAATTCACAGGAAAGTGGATTGAAAGATTGAGAAGAAAATTAAAAACAAAATGCTATGGAAAAATTATGTTTCAAAATAAAATGAAATCACAAACAGTTCTAAGGAGAACTGAACCCAAATTTAACTAGATGGAATTCAGAAAGTAAAACCAAGACTACCAGTCCTTCCCTACTTCCAACCAATAAAAAAGAGACAATTAATGTATCATCGAAGATGTTGGTCCTGGAAAATAGAAAAAAATATGTTGTCGATAGACAAAATATGTGGTCACCATAATAACATCTAAATTGTTCTGGACAAAGAGCTAGGAAAAACATCTGGTTTGAATCGGCCACCCAGAAGAAAACTATAACTACAAAAATAAAGATTAGCACCTAAGATTGGGGACAGGTTTGTTAATTTTAATTTCTTTGACATTCATCAAAATTTTTATGGCCAGAATTAATCTGGATTCTTTTGGGGACAAGCTGATAAAGAAAAATTAATTATTTGCCCTGGCGTGGCCTGGTTGACCAAGAAACACATAAACAGAGAAAGATTATTTTTTTGTTATCAAAAATGTTGAGAATATTTTCTTTCTTTTCTTTCCCAACCATGATGACTGAAAGTAAATAAAACAATTTTTGAGATTGGCACTGATTATATATTATTTATATATATTTATCTGATTATTATATTAGATATGCTTAAGTCCCTGGCTTTGGAAAATCACATAAAACCACCAGCATGAGACAAGCTGATAAAGAAAGATTAATTACTGAAAATCCCCTTTTCACCTATGTATTCTAAAAGTTTACATTCATCATAAAGATAGTTGTACCAGGCCTTGGCATGGGTTGAGCTTGAATACTGGGAAAGTGGGAGAAGGAAAAAAGAGATTAGCACCACTTATATGGAGTGATGGTGCAAGTTGAGAAGTGAAGGAAGTTGAAGTTATGGGGTGGATTGATTCCTTTGACTACTCTCAAAAAGGTGCTGGACAACACCTAAATTTGGAAACTTACTCAAGTAAACATATTCTGAAAATAGGGGATTTTATAATAACAAAGAAGCACATTACTGCTATTGGAATCCACATTGTTCACTCAGGCTTCCTGACTAAGACCTTGTGCCAGCCCTGAAGACCAGAACATAGACTTAAATTACTACTAACACAGGCTGTAAATTCCAAAAGGAGATCCCAGTGTTATTTGATTATAACAGAAAGTGGGAAGGGTTAAAACCAATGTATACAACCAATCATATATAAACTAAATTGTTGTTACATTTTTAATCCAAGTTAATTCTTCATTCCAAAGAATTCTTTTTTTGTGTAGCTCCCAGCAGTTCATCTGTTCTTCACTTCAGTTTACTTCATAAAAGATCTTCTAATCCTCTGAGATCAAAAACATGTGGTAGGGGAATGAATGATCATGAAGGAGACAAACATCAATAGATCAAGTGGAACTGGGCTCATCAACACAATACCAGTGACAAACCAGCAACATATCAACAAGTGAAGAGTCAGCTAGATGGTAATCATGGTGGTCTGAAGGAACCTGAAGTACAACACAGTGGAGATGGGGGTTACACCATCAACACTTTCATTCCAATTTCATTTCCAATTTCATATCATTGTTTCTATTTTGGACAGGTTTGAGTCCTATCTCTTGGAATACTTGATCTTGATTATTTGTTCTAAATCATTCCTATCCCAACTATGAATACCTATGTTATTGACACATGTCATCAGTACATTGGCCTTTGTTTCTGTAAAGAAGTCCTTACAAGACATTTAAGATTTGGTGGACCAATAAAGTTGGTCCACAAAATCTTTCATGTCTGGTGAGGGTCCTAAAAGCTAATTTTTATAAACTGTAAACATATATATATATATATGTTAATCATTTAACACTAGACTCTTGCTGATTAGTGAGTAAGTAGGAGTAATGCCAACTTTTAAGTGTAGTTGGAGTTTGGTTAATTACAAAGTAATTACTTATTCATATGCAAATAATTATAATACAAATAAAATAAATAGAAAATAACTTGTTTCTATTTATTTTATTAAAAGTTGGCATTACTTCTACTATTCACTGAGCTTAACAGATATACACAAATAAGTAAGTTTTCACAAAGCTTTTATTTACCTTTAAGCTTTTTAAAGAAATTATGAATTTGTGGAGGATGCATGCTGCAATGGGACCATTTGGTTCTCTGGTAAATAGAATCTGTAGCATCATAGGAAGGAAGAGTTTTCAAATGTTGCAGATAGTTGGCTGAAAATGAAAGTATAAATTTTATTTAATTTATTAAAAAAATTAAAAACTTGTAGCATTTTTTATATTGTTATACATTTAAATTTATTATAGTGTTATGTATTTAAATTTTTTGAGTACAAAGAAGGTCCATTGAATATAAGTTTTCTTTCCTGATTTTTTTAATTTATGTAATTTGTTTTAAAGCAAACAGACCAAACTTAAGGAAAAATAAAGCAAAAGGGAACAAAAATCAACACTGTAAAAATCTCGAGATACTGAGAAACCAAAGGTGTTATAAAGTTATTGCCATTATGAATTTTTCTAACCTACAGGTTTTGTTAACCACAATATAGCAATCATAGAAGCACTGCTAGGTAACTTATACAAAGAATCTCATGTTTTTGTGATGAGAGAAGCTATTTCCATCTCACGCATACATACGCAGATGAGTTCTTTGGTAGCGTGTGATAAAGAAGAATGACCCAAAGCCCTGCAATATACACACTATTCCATATATTCACCTTAAAATTAAATACATTAACCCTAATACTAATTTTAGCAAGTGGATTGGACTGGGAACTTTTCAGCACACTTGTCATGTGTGTGTGTATGTACACATACACATGTATGCATAATATATATATATATATATATATATATATATATATATATATATATATAGAGAGAGAGAGAGAGAGAGAGAGAAACAACAATAAAAATAAATTATTTTTGAATTAATCATATGTTTCAATAGGGGCTTGGGAACTTAAACCTATCACTTGCTTATCTTAAATAAAAAAAGCAGTAATGCCAAATGTATAGTTTGTATAACATATATAAAAATTTTACTTTTGTACTAAATCCAAGTTCTAGTGTCAAGCACAAAACTTAGTTGGTAGAAACAGCAACTCATGATAATAGGCACAATATTAAGAAACAAGACGACCACTGCAAAAATTTTAAAATGGGAAAACACATTTATTTTACAATTTACAAATACAAAAAGGTACAATACAAGGTCTGCACAAAGATTTCCTTTTGTGCACCTATTTTGATAGGATAGCAGTTTTCTGAGGTAACAAAAAAGGGATTATTCCCAGAAACAAGAAAAAATATGTCACAATTTGCTTGATAAAGATATGGATTCAAAGGCAAAAAAAAACTTTGAAAAAGAAAAAGGGAAAAATTTGAAGTAAGCAATAGAAAAATTATACAAGGCAGAAATTTCAAAAAGCTCTCACTTTCATTCTGAATACTCAAATGTGACATCTCAGCTTGAAGGAGTTTTGTGTTTTCAAGTTGTTTTCTTGAAGGCCTTTTGAAGTATTTTGCCACAAAGTTATCTAGAGAGTTCTTTTGGTTTAAATTCTTTGCAGGAAGGCACAGCAAGGAATTTCAGTTCTGGGATATAAATCTGCCTTGAATCTGTCTGCTCTTTCTTTCCTGTGTTGGTTTATGACGTCCTTTGGCCCGGACTAGTCTTTTGAAGCTTGGGCACTAAATGCCTTCTTCCTCCTTGTTAACTGCTTTCTTGTCAATGGCACATTCTTTCTCTACTGATCTTATTTGCACATAGCAGTCCTTTTTATTGAAAAAGCTGGGTCATGCCGGCTCTGGCCATAATTTCACAAGGGCCCAAAAAACTCATTTCTCATTGGCCAATATATATAAAACCTTTCTCCAAGTATTCAAAAAAACGAATCCACAACAAATCAACAATTTTGGTGGTATCAACTACTTGAGCCTATGAGGCCATAAAAATGCAACAATTTTCACATAAACCAGCTGGCCTTCAGAAGAATACACTTCTCTCAAAAGCATGTATTAAAAAAAACAACCAAGATGATTATGCATTTATAATTCTAAAATTTTAAAAATAATAAAAATAAATTTTTACATAAGCAACTTTTACATTTATATCATTAGGCATGTGCAAAAGTTCACAGTGAACAGTGGCGGCTTGTGGCTAAAATTAGTGGGGTTGCTGCTTCAGAAAATTTTTAGCCATTGTTTTAATATTGTGTAAAACGAAACAAACATAAAAAGAAAATTTATACATAAACTTGATAAAATCCTAAACAAAAAAATTATTTTTTGCTTAGAAACTGTTACACTTCAAACTTGATCCATTCATTTAAAAATGAAATCCATTCTTATTTCACTTTCATTGAAAACATTAATAATTTTCTCCTTGATCCCTGGATGACTGTTGAGGAAATGTTTCTCCATTGAAAACACTGCAAGTGTATTTAGTCTTTCAGGATTCATAGTGCTCCTTAAGAAAAGTTTTTATTCTTTTCAGTGATGAAAAGCAATGTTCTGGCTCTGATGTAGTCATAGAAATTGTCAAAAAGATTTTTATCAGTTTCATAATTTCATTAAGAACACCATCTAGATTATTTTCTGAGATAAATTTCAGCAGCTCAATTAATTTGCAACATTCATGCATATCTGATCTACAATAGAATACTTTTAGTTCAGTTTCAAGTTTTTCTTTGTCAATCATGGGATATGCTTTAGTGGTCAGTATGATCTCTTCTGTAGGCAGTTCATTCTTAAAGCTAGTAAAGCTTTTCATGTTGAACAATTTAGCAGCTAAGTGTTTAGTGGAAGAATATCTGTCCATTATATCAACACATATGGAGTCATACACTTCCTTTGCTTTTGCCATGAGTGTCTTTGAAGGATTCTCCCTGTATTTTGAGTTTCTTATTTCTAAAATAGCAGTTTTGAAATCTGTTATATATTCATTGACTTTAAACACACTAATTTCTCAAGATTGCATTTGGTTGTAAATTTGTAAATTACTTCAACATGAGGTATAATCTGATGAAAAATCTCAAACCAAAACATGATATTATCATCATTCAGCTATTGTAAAATTCTTGTTGCTTCAGCAATAGTTTGATTGGCATTTCATGTTGAATGAATTTCAGTAAGGCAGCTTTTTAAGGTTGCAAATTTTCATGAACTCGGTTCACAGTCTGTATCTTAAAGTTCCACCTTGTAGAGGATGGACATGGAATGCTGATGTCCATAGGCTTCTTGAGAATGGATATATATTGGGAGTGATCTTAAGAAGAATGTTGGCATAGCCAAAATGTTAGAGAAAATATTCTTGCATTCCGTGTAATACTTGCTGCATTTCTCATTATTAAATTAAGCAAGATGTGCATAATGGAGAATGAAAAGTGCACTACTATAAACTACTTTTATTTATGCTTGAATTGCTCCTTTTTTGCCTTTCATGACATTTACATCATCAAATATCTGAGCTACCAGTGTTTGTTCATTTCCTTGAAGAATTACATTTAATTGTTCTGTAATACATTTTCATATGCCATTTGCAGTTTGATTTTCTTGAATAAAGAATCCCCCAAAACACTCAATATTTCTTCAATCCACACGTATAGTAAATCAATGAGTATGTTCCAAAACATCTGTTGTATTATCAGCCATGACAGCTACAAATGAATCTTCCCTAATTTCTGTCTTTATCTCTTCGTGGTATATTTGTGGCAGGCAGTCAAGTATTTCATTCTGAATGGTCTTAGAAATACCTTTGAAAACTGTACTGATTTCTAATTCAGATGCAAAATTTATTAATCCTCTAAATACCCCTGGTATCTTTTTCATCATATCCATGTAAGAAGGAAGCTTCAAAGTTTTCACAAAATAAAATACTAAAGATATTTCATTATTAAAAATTCATTTTAAACCTTAGGTATCATTTTTTTTTTATGTTTTTTGTGGAGATACCTATATTAAATACAATCTCTTATTTTGGATAAAATTTCATGGCTCTTTTTAACCTTCATGCTATGCTCGTTGATTGAAAGTCTGTATACCTCACTAAGTTTCTCCTTAATATTTACGTTTCCTAAAAGTGACAGTGAAACCACATTTTCAATATGCTTCTTTGACTTCATGTTTTTCAGTTTTTTTCTTTCATTTTAGTCCCCCCCCCCAAAAAAAGAACTAAACAGATTTTTATATAGAAAATACAAATTAATTTAACTGATGAATAAATATGAATAATTACGTGTCTTCTTGTTTAGTATTTCTCTAAATTTCCAGTCCATCTTCCAAGCAAGGTAACAGTGAGTGTCTTTATCTAAATTCTCCTGACTTCTTTGTTTCTCTGCTTCTGACATTTCTTCTGGTGTCAATTCTGGTAATATCTGAAAATAATGGTAAATTTATATTAGAAAGCATAAAGCTCATTACTTAACAGACTGTGTGTGTGAGGAGGGTACATGTGCAACTATTCAAAATAAATTTTAAAAAAAGCATCAAATAAGAATAAAACAATAGTTTGATGAACAAATACCAATCATCAGGAATCTTGTTGAAAGCTTAAATAACTACTAGTCCACTTAATTAACCAATTACATCATTATTAATTTTTTGTCTGTGCTTAATAATCTAATTTTCCATCTAATGTCAGAAATATTTAGCTTGTTGATGCAGAAGCTGGCTAAAGCTAAACAAAGGAGTTTGTATAACATAGCAGTTATCAGCATGCAATTCTAGACAAACTCATTGCATTCACTTTCATAGAAATACCCTTTGGAAAAGGTATGAATTCATAACTTGTCCCCGCAGCTATAAGTTAAATAACATGGTAGGTTGGATTCCATAGCCTTGGTTAGCAACCATTCTAGGAGAAGGACAACTCAAAATTCAAAACTAGTTGGTAACTCCACCCAGTGAAAACTTACTTGCTATGCTGAGCTGTGAAACTTTACTCCACAGGGGAGTCTAATAGTGCAAAGGAGAAAGAGGAAACAGTGACTTAGCAGTACAGTCAGCTGAAACCTTCTCTATATCTCATTCAAGTGCACTTGATACTAAAATTCATTTACTTTTTCCCCCACCACCATTACACCAATATTTTGTTATGTCATTATCCAAGTGGGTACTGAAAAATTCTTGGCCCAACCAAGAAGGGATTCCACAAATATTTGTAATGTTTAGTTGCTTGGTCACATTCTAGAAAGTGGGTCAGCACCCACTTGTAAATGAGTATTTTGCAGATATGCATGCTAAGCTAAGTTTTAATTTATTTCTTTGATAAATTCTACCCTGGGTATCATCAGTTACATATACAAACTTCTTTTCTCCTGTCTGGACAAATCTTCAACCTGTTTGCCACCACAGACGAGATAATTTCTCTTAACAAATCATTTTAGTGGCATGGGTTAGATAACACATTCTAGCATGTCATTAATTTAGTCCTTCAGACAAGATAAGTCATCTTAGAAAGATGTCAGTTTAGTATAATTTTCATTCTATATGAGAAGATTTTATTTAAGTGATTTATCAAAGAAAGAGATTATACAGAAAAATAAATATCTATTGTGTAAAATAAATGCTTCTATTTTTTTTCATCATTAAGCTACAGACATATTTATATACCTACATATTTATGTCCTTGTACCAAATTTAAATTGCCCTTAGTTGCTTAATACAAAAGAGGGGTTTTAGTAATTGGTGGGGAGCAGAATCTTTTACAATATGCAATAAATGTGGGTGTTAATAATAGAGGATTTATTTATTAAAGACATTTTTATGTTTAACGTTGTTATTTATAGATACAAGTATTTAAGCAAATGCTCTGTTTATGATAAACAGTATTAAATAACATTTACCGGCCTGAATGTCCGAGAAATTTTCATAGAAAATATTCGTTCTTTGACAGGATTCGAACCTGCATCCTATACGGGACCGTCATATATGCTGACGTGCCTTAACCGTCTCGGCCACAAAGAACCTTACGGTAGACAAGGTCGAATTTACTGTTTATAAACTTCAATCTTCCATGAATCTCGTACATTCATAACTGCTCTGGCGTATCGAATGTAAACAAATGACGTCATATGTTAAGAAATGGACAAGGTCCGACAATTTATTTATTAAAGACATTTTTATGTTTAACGTTGTTATTTATAGATACAAGTATTTAAGCAAATGCACTGTTTATGATAAATAGTATTAAATAACATTTACCGGCCTGAATTTATCATAAACAGAGTATTTGCTTAAATACTTGTATCTATAAATAACAACGTTAAACATAAAAATGTCTTTAATAAATAAATTGTCGGACCTTGTCCATTTCTTAACAATAGAGGATTGCGGAAATTTATTTAAAGATTCAAAAAGTACAAAATTAATAAACAGAGTAATCTTAATAAGCTTGTGACTTGGTGGTATTGTCTCATTGCTTGGGTGGTGCCTCTTACTTTGTAACCCTCGAGTGGCTCTTGGGCATTGTACAGGGTGAAAATCATTGTAATAAAACAGATAAGGAGAAACTTGGAATGATAGAGATATGATTCTACCAATAAATGCTAAGAATAACATAGACAGAACAAATAAATAGGGAAGTTTTAAGGAAAGTGGGAACTACAAGGTAACTTATACGATCAGAAAGAAACAACTGATATTTCTGGGACACATAATGAGGTAAAAATGACTGAAGAATTTAAACAAGAAAATACAGGAAATATTGAAGGCAAGTGAAACAGGAGAAAAATAGGGAGTAAACTACTTAACGATTTTGTGTGAATGGATGTTAGAATAAGAACAAAGAGGATTGATAAAGGGGGCAAAGTTACTTAAAGCAACAAAAACAAGAAGTTGTGGAGAGCCATATTCACACATCCTGAAAGAACATTGAATATAAAAAGAATAACATATTTTACATAAATCTTCACTGTATCTGGATTTGAACTTTATACATCTTGTTACTTTTTAACCTACAAAAAACTGATAAACTTGTATTGGATTGTCAGAATTCCAATCACCAATTGAGATAATAGATTAATCTATGAAGTTTTGATCAGAAATTGCTTGGATCATTACCAAGTTCTTTCTCTTTTATTTGTTTTTTTAATCAGTGACTCTGCCAATATTTATTGATAGGAACAAATATGGACCATACACAAGCTCTCTAAGTTGGTTTAAATCATTAAATCTTGTCCATAACTTATATACCTAATTTTCAAAATTATATCCTCAATTATTTTTTTTTTTTTTGTAAATAAAAATATTTTTGAACTGAAGGAAGGAAGGAAAAGAGGGAGGGAGGGTGGGAGGAAGGAAGGAGGATGATGATGAAGAAAAAGAAATATTTATCAAAATTAAGACTGTCATATAGCTGTCATTTTGAGCACCTTCTTGATCAGTCCATCATGATAGCAATATTAACAAACTGATTTATATAATCAATTCACTGAGACCAATGTATACAAAGTTAAATGTGTATTTAGGCTTAGAAAGCCTGGACAAAAAAAAAAAAATGATTTTATTACTTCAAACCCTATTTTTAGTGGATACCCATATCTGAATAGAAGCTCCATTTTTTTAAAAAAATTATTTATTTCATCTACTGGCCTGCAGATCCAAGAAAAAAACAAGAAAATCTGAATAAGTAAATATGCTTTAAAGGTAAATATAACCTTGCTGGACAGTGAAGTTCTCCATAGCTGAGTAATCAAAGCATATTGGATCAGACAGTGGTTTCTCCTGCAAAGAGGGATACAGGTTTGAATTTCTTTATTAAGTTTTACATGAAATAAACAGTGTTTTAAAAAAGAAGTGTTTACTCAAATACAAGTATCCACTATCAGATTAACAAAAATAAAATCCATTAATTCCTTAAAAATTGATTGACAAAAATTATACAACTTGATCATCTTTACCCCTGTAGTTTTACAACTGTCTACCAGATAGCAGTGATGCTTGGTAGCATATATCTACAGACATTTTGGGCCTCAAGAAGATTTTTCTTTCACTTCAGGGAAATCAATGTTTGTTTATATTTAGTTCTACATTAGTATCTTAAATGATACCACAGACATCTTAAGGTTAATGTTAGTTGGAAAATAATAAAAATTCTATATAATTCTAACAGAAAAGATAATGATATAATAAAAATACATAAATACTTTCATTCTAAAAATCAGGATTCCATTATCAACATGAGTTCATGTATATTATTTAATCAAGAATCAAAGATACAAGACATGATGATTTAACTGTATATGTAAGAAATATCCAAGGTCAGACTGTCTAGACAAGCAGAAAATATTTGACTGAAACTGTTTGACAATGATATGAGAATTTTCATTTCACTATATCTAACAGTCTGCAAACCTTTGTGGTAGGGAATTTAAAGAATTGGCTTCATCCTAAGTGGCATCATTCCAGGATGTTAAAGACAAACCTATGAATAGATTTGCTTTTGACTTAGAAACATTGTAATTTGTTTCAGACAGCTATTTTAGTGAATGAATGATGATGTACTGGCAGTGGAAGAGTGATTGTAGTGGTGGTAGAGGTATTATTATTTTTATTATTATTTGAATCTGCTGGTTTGTTTTATGAGCTGTATCTGAGTTTCAACCAGAAATCTCAACGGATGGCAAGTTAACAGATTATTGTTGGTACAGTTGGTTGAATATAGAGCTGACATTCCCAGTATCATTTTTCTTAATTATATGATTTCATTGAAATTTATTTGGTAACTTAAACTTTCTTTAAAATTTTTATGCATATGTATGGATAAAAATTATGTAAAGTTGAAATGTATAAACAAATTAAATAACGAGTCTGACAAACTAAGATTGTACCACGGGTGTAAAATTCAATAAAATCGTAGAAGAAGATTCAAAATATGAAAGGGAAAACATCGTAAGATATGTAGAATTCTGTGAATGTATGAAAATGTGCATGCAAATTTCAGTTCTGTGGGGTCTTTAAATTATCCCCCATAGCCTATCACATTATCAAAACATTCTTGGGGGTGTGGGAAATATCTGTGAGTGCAATTTTTTTGCATTTTAGCCAAACTTGGTTCATCAGGTTGTCATGAAACATAATTTTTCATTTTTTGGGCATGGTATCTAGACCCCCACCCCCACCACCACCACTACTACTATGAAGATGATGATGATGAAGTAGCAGAACTGTTATCAGCAAAGAAAAGAGAATTGGAAAATTGTGCTTGAATTTCAGCCAAACTGTTGCTTGTGTTGATTTAATACTAATGGATGTTTAATGTATGCATCTAATTCACCTCACTAAAAAAATGTCTTGTCACAAAAGAATAAAGTGGTTGAAAAAGAACTCAACAAACCATTTTTTATTCTTTTATAACAACCTTACTGCTCAGGTAGGATTACCAGTCTCCACTACACCCACTGTCAATCTTGACTCATTCAAGTCTTTATTTAGAAGAGTAGGTTTAGAAATTCAGGTCAGATATCTTCCTTTGAAATTCCAGGTTTCCTCAATTCTTCCATTTTGAATTATCATCTAGTAATTTTGTTACTATTATACATATATATATCACTATTATATATATATATATATATATATATATATATAAAATTCCTCCTCTTAGAATAAAATGTTCCCATCAGAGAGTGAAGTGCCTCTTTTTTAAGAATCACTAACTTAGGATTGAAGAAGATAGATAAATAACACATCTTTTTAAAAAACTGAAGTCAAATGATAACAATACTTCACCTTGTAAATTTCTATCCTTCCCAGATGAGATCATGGAGAAGGAGGAATTTTTTTTTCTTTTAAGCATTTCACCCCAAGCAAGGTGGGAGTGCCACTAGCACACAAGGGGTTACAAAGAGTGGGAGCAAGAGTAAAGAGGCATGATAGAGGAAAGGATGAAGAGAAGGACAGGGAATAGATCAAGGCATCTGGAGATGTTGATTGACATTGCATTTGAATAGTTGGAGATTATAGCTATCAGGGAAATAAGTAAGAGGAAGGGAGTTCCACAGATATGAAATGTGAGAGATGAAGCTATTGGAGTAGAAGAGATGGCTACATTTAACCGTTTTGACAGTTAAAAGGTAGGACTGAGATGCCACCCTAGTAGCATGGTTAAATTCATGCAGTTTGGGAACTAGCGGAAGTAGCTCATTGAAGCAGTTACTGTGAAAGTATTTGTAGAAAAGACAGAGGGAAGTGACAGCACATCTGTGAGAGAGCGACTGTAAATGAGATGCCAGATCAGGGCCAATCACACTGCATATCTGTCTCTGGATTTTGTCGAGGACTTTAAAACAGCAGGGTCTTCAGACCATATATGGCAGCAGTATTCCATGCAAGGGCAAATGGCAGATTTATAGATTTGAAGGATGGACTCAGGTGAGAAAAACTTTCTGGTGTGATACAGAGAACCAACTTTCCTTGCGGTACATGAAGCTATTGATTCAATGTATTTGTTCCATCTTAGGTCAGCAGACAGTGTGAGACTAAGCAGTCACAGAGAGATGCTCTCTTTGAGTTGAGCATCAGACATTCTAATGAGAGGTAGGAGAGTTAATTATGGTGGGTAAAAGAGAGCAGTTTTGTTTTTGAGGCATTAAAGTTAACCAGCCATTTCTTGGCCCAGTCAACAACAGATTGGAGGTTCTTTTCAAGACCAATGGCCAGGTCAGTTTTGTCAGTGATACCAGATTTGATATTTAGGCAGGAGTAAATAGTAGTGTCATCTGCATAGATGCCTACTTGGAAACTGATGACATCGGAAAGATCGTTAATGAAGATCAGAAACAGCATGGGGCCCAGGATAGGGCCTTGGGGAATACCTGTGTTCATGAGAAAGGAAATGGACAAGAATCCATTAAGGATGACCTTCATTACATGGTTTGACAGAAATGTTTGTATTAAGTCAAATAATCGTCCTGAAATTCCGTATCCCTGAAGCTTACGACAAAGGCTGGCATGCCAAAATCTATCAAATGCCTTAGAGATATCTTGAGTCATGGCACAAGCTTCTCCGTTATTGTGAATTGCTTGGTAAACAAATTCACTTATGACCATGAGCACATCAGAAGTAGATTGGGCAAAGCAGAAACCATATTGCTTGTCAGAGAGCAGATCATGGGATGTAAGGTGCTTAACCACTTCAGCATTGATTAAAATTTCAAAGATTTTGCCGAAGAGTGGTAGAAGACAGATAGGATGGTAGTTAGATGGGTCAGAAGGGTCTCTAGAATTCATAAAAACAGGTACAACAGCTGAAAACTTCCAACAGGATGGAAGCAGGAGTCGTTGATGCAGTTGTTGTATAGTTTGGAGAGGACAGGAGTCAGTTCAGGAGCACATTTCTTCAGGACAACAGCTGGTATCCCATCTCCACTGCTAGCCTTATGGAAGTCTAATTTAGAGACAATGTCCAATACCATAGATGAGGATATGTGCAATTTGCTCAATAGAGCCTCAGTTCTAGGGGGGAAATTGGATGAGTCAAGTGTTGAATTGGATGAGAATTTCCCAGCAAAGCACTTATCAGCTGAAGAAGTCAGGACCTCAAATTGGTTGAATAAAGGAGGTATTATGGGTTTGCTGTTGTTTAGTACATTCTTGCAGACATACCAATAATCTTTATTGTTTCATTCTTTCAGCAAATAGTGACTTTGCTTCATTGAGGACACACTTGCACTCATTATGGCCTGAGACAAAGTGACATCTGTTGCAATCTGACATGTTGCTATGGTACAGGTGGAAGAAGTGATTCCTATGGGCAATGGCAGCTTAGCAAGCAACAGAGAACCAAGGGGACGAGCATGATTTAACCTTATATGTCTTTGCAGGGATGAAAGTTTTGATTCCAGCTTTTAGTCAGGAGACCTCAGAAGCATATTTTTGAATGGGGAAATTAAAAACCACATTCCAGGGGACATTGAGAAGGAAATCATGGAACAAGTCCCAGTCTGTTGTTGATAACAGAAAGATGTTCTGTTGGTAGAAGGTTCTTTGCTGGGAGTGGAGTAGAAGGAGATGTTGACAGACACTACAGCATGATCAGAGCTGCCAAGAAAGCAGAGCTGCATGGTACGACAAGACTTGGGGATAAAGATGAAACAGAGAGTGAGAAGGGAAGCTTTACCATTCTGGTTATTGGGAAAATGTGTGGGAAAGTCAACCATTTGTGTGAAAGATTAAATGCAGTATAAGAGAAGAAAAATGACAATGTGCTCATATTTTTTTAAATAAGGTGTTAGAGATTTATTCAATAAATCTTTTTTATTATTGGTGTTACAGTAGAAGTTTGAGGGGTCACTGTTGTTTTATCAGGAATTCTTAATATAAAGAACATGCAGGAAAATATAGACGCCAAAAATTGAGTTATAACAAAGGCATAGTTCTTAATAAAAAGGCCAAAGTTTTATTATTGGCAAACAATCAACAACTTAATTACAATTATGTACATTTGTTGATTTGTAAGAACTGAAAGGAGTCACCACCTGGTAAGGAGTGAAATATTAAAAAACACATAAAAATGTTCCAAAATTTGAGTGTGTAGATATGCAAATGTGTTTAAATTAGTAGTCCAGAAAAAGGAGTTTGGTAACCACATGCCAAGTGTTAAGTCTTTATAATGTCTGTGCGTTATGGTCCTTGATGAAAGAAGTTAAACTCAAAAGAAATCACTTGAATGAAGTGACTTGGGAATCCAAAAATGACAGCATGCTGAGAAAGATGCTACATATGGCATCTCATTATGTAAATCCAGAAATTTGGGGGGAAACCAAATCAAGATGCTGTGATGATAGGTTGAGTTCAAAATCGTGGTATGCCAATGAAAAAGGCACCAAACTGATGTGGTTGCTAGGTAAACAAACATGATAGCATAGGTCATCATGATGGTGTTTCTGCAAATGAATGTTAACATGCAAAAACAATGAATAGAGCAACAAGAAAGAATTCAAATACAGCAAGGTCTGCGTTTGTTCAACAGAAATGAAAAAGGATAACTCAACTGTCCAAATCCAGGGCAGAAAGCAAAGACAAGGAAGGAAAAACAGATTCACTGAAGGCTGAGAGAGAGGGTAAGTAGAGAAGAGAAGGAAAAGCAGATTCACTGAAGGCTGAGAGAGAGGGTAAGTAGAGAAGAGAAGGAAAAGCAGATTCACTGAAGGCTGAGAGAGAGGGTAAGTAGAGAAGAGAAGGAAAAGCAGATTCACTGAAGGCTGAAAGAGAGGGTAAGTAGAGAAGAGAAGGAAAAACAGATTCACTGAAGGCTGAGAGAGAGGGTAAGTAGAGAAGAGAAAGAAAAGCAGATTCACTGAAGGCTGAGAGAGAGAGGTTAAGTAGAGAAGAGAAGGAAAAGCAGATTCACTGAAGGCTGAGAGAGAGAGGGTAAGTAGAGAAGAGATGGAAAAGCAGATTCACTGAAGGCTGAGAGAGAGAAAAGAGAAGGAAAAGCAGATTCACTGAAGGCTGAGAGAGAGAGAGAAGAGAAGGAAAAGCAGATTCACTGAAGGCTGAGAGAAGGCTGAGAAGAGAAGGAAAAGGTGAAGGCTAGAAAAGAGAAGATGGAAAAGCAGATTCACTGAAGGCTGAGAGAGAGGGTAAGTAGAAAGAGAAGGAAAAGCAGATTCACTGAAGGCTGAGAGGCTAGAGAAGAGAAGGAAAAGCAGATTCACTGAAGGCTGAGAGAGGGTAAGTAGAGAAGAGAAGGAAAAGCAGATTCACTGAAGGCTGAGAGAGAGGGTAAGTAGAGAAGAGAAAGAAAAGCAGATTCACTGAAGGCTGAGAGAGAGAGGGTAAGTAGAGAAGAGAAGGAAAAGCAGATTCACTGAAGGCTGAGAGAGAGAGGGTAAGTAGAGAAGAGATGGAAAAGCAGATTCACTGAAGGCTGAGAGAGAGGGTAAGTAGAAAAGAGAAGGAAAAGCAGATTCACTGAAGGCTGAGAGAGAGGGTAAGTAGAGAAGAGAAGGAAAAGCAGATTCACTGAAGGCTGAGAGAGAGGGTAAGTAGAGAAGAGAAGGAAAAGCAGTAACTGCATCTTTCCAAGAAGGACAAAGTGAAAAGGAGAAAGAAAACAAAAAATGAACATGAACAAACAGCAAGGAGGATTTCAACACCAAAAGGTGGAAATTGCTTTTACTTCCTTCAGGCAACTCTTCTGGTCAGGTTGATGATCATATCTGTCATGGCAACAAGATCAGCAACTAACCCCTGATGTCAGGGGAGGAGAAAGTATTTCCTATTTCTTTGCCTAAGAAATTAAGTAGACATTTAGAAAACATCTTTTCTTAGAGCAAAGGTTCCTACTAGTATTCTGGGACTATTTGTCAACTTTTTATGTATTATATATACATAATTTTTGAAACATAGAAAGTTTTGTTAGAATTGAGAAACACTGGTATATAGAAATCTGTAACAAAACTCGTCAGTCAAGGGAGCTAATTCACTTCCAGTTACTGAACTGGTGGATGTGACAAGTTTGTTTTTCATTTAATTTGAAATAGTAATATTTAACTACCAAGAATATTACCTCTTGAGAATTCATGTTTGATAATTGTAGTACCAATGGAATCATAAAAATGAACAAAAGAGAATTTGTGCTGCTTTTGTTAATATAACATTTCAACCAATTCACATAGTAAAATGGTAAAGAAATAAGGGCTAATGGCTGTCTTTCTTTACAGATTGTACACTAAAAAATGACTTGACAATGGATTAGATGAAATGCTGTAGTAGTTTAGAAAATTTAGAAGTTTTTATATTAAATATCCAAACATTCAAATTCCAAGCAATAATGAAACAAAATTAAAGAAAACATGGGTATGCCTATTAAATAAATCATTTGTATTTACAAACATATAAATTGAAAATAGTTGAAAAGAAATAAAAATAGTTTTTAGTTGGGTTAAAGCCTTTGGGTAGTTGGTTCACAGAAAAAGTTGAGGTTAAAACAGACTTTTAGTGGTTGGTTCACTATAAAAATCTGTGGTTAAGAAAAAACTTTTATTGTTGGTGAAGATTCACTGACCACCCTCACTGTTGTTATTGTTGGAGATGATTTTTTTGAAGTTGCCGACACATGATCATCAGTGAAGATTCCTTGACTGTCTCTACTGTTGTTGTTGGAGATGATTCATTTGAAGTTGCTGACACATTTCTTTCAGCACACACTGTAGAAGGAAAAACATATGTAGCCACATCTTCTGTTGTGCTTGGCTAGGAGATAGCTGCATCCCTGCTCTTTGAAAGTCAAAATTTCTGGGTTTTTATAAGACAAGTATGCTAGAGAAAAGTAGGGTTTTAGTTTTCTTTGCTCAAATATTTCACATGATGATATTCATTTCTAACCAATAGACAATTTAATTTAAATGGTGTGTGTTGTATTTTGGAATTTAATTGGCATGTTGTTAATATTGTCTGTTATTAATAGGTAGAAAATAAAGTTTGTGTATGTTTTAATATGGCATGTATGTGAGTATATAATTGTGTTGGAAATAGGGTTTATTCCCTATAATAGCAACAAAAGCATGACAAAGATAGAGTTTAACAGTTTGAACAACACTGGAAAAATGGCAATGACTCTTTTGAAAATTATAGACAGAATGAAGGAGTTTTATCTTGTTTCCCCAACTGAATGAATTTAAACATACTAATTAGCAACTAAGTCTCACCATTTTACTGCTGAACTAGCTAGATGTAACCATAAGTTCTATTTTAATAGCTTCTTTTCTTGTACTTCTTGCCTGTGGAACTCATCTGGTTTCTTGCTTCTCTGGCATCTACAATTCTTGAAAATTTAAATGCAATGCTAAATCATCATCTTATGTGTACCTGAATGCTCTTCTTTTATTGTCCTTTCACCTCACTAAAGTTTTCTCTTTCACCTCCAGTAACTCTTTGCATCTTAGTGTCATTATCGCCTTGCTTGGGGTGAAAGGAAAATTAGTTGTCATGAACTTCACAATAAACTAGTCATTACAGAAATATCATCAACAGTCCAAAAACAATTTTGATTGATACTAGGGAAGAATTTTTCAAGATTTTTATCATTTTGGCTTGTTGAAGGACAGTCGGATTGTTTGTGGTCCACAAGTAACATTTCAGTATATTTGAAAGGCAAATACCATTTTTGTGTTTTAACTAAACAAGTTTTTAACTAAAGCTTCTTCTTTTTAAACAATTTCACTGCTGCAGGGTTACAGCACTTTTGCTCAATTGTACTGGCTTGGTTTAGGGAAAAATAGAAAATTGCCATTTACAGGAAATAAATATAAGGTCAATATGATAATTTTTCATGGGCTCTGCTATTTTGGTTTTGAGCAAACACTCTGTAGTACAGACCCACAACACTCAATATAATAAAAATACATTGCAATATATGTATTGTATGCTACTATATGTCTACACTAGTTTGAAAATAGTACTAAATGCTAGTTAGTTTCTAACTCAAACATTAGGGACCAACACTTCATGATATCTTGAAAATGTATAGATCTATATGTCATCAGCTGTCAATGTAAGATTCATAAAGATATATCCATGGTAGAAGTGTTAAAAACTTCAAGAATAACAATTTTTACTAAACAAAAAACATAGAGACTCTTTGTTCTTTTTCATTAGCCATGAGAAAAAACATCAAGCATGTTTACAAATACCAAAAAAAAAAAAGCCATGAAAAAAACCATGAAATATGTTCACAAAAACCAGAAAAAAAAGCCATAAGATACAAATCAGTCAAATCCAAACCATGTCATGTTGCAGACTGGTTGAGAATAGTGTTATTTATCTATGAACTGTTTATATAACCTGTGATACCTTAAGTAGAATTTATTAAACATATAAAAACTTTCATACATATAATGATTACATACAATGGATGCAAATAGAACCCAATACATTTTGTAAAAAGTTTATTTTAATATATTTATGCAACTTCAAATGGGACAGAATCGAGACAAAAGATTAATAATACAACAACTAAAAAAAGTTTGAAACAAGATTGAATATTGTGAAATTATTTTCAAGAATCAAAAATTCCCAATCCTAATTCTGATAATGTTGAAGCTTTATGCTCAAACAAATGGAATTGTCCCAGTGGTTAACAACACAGAAAGTGGAATAACTGAATTCAAATTTCAGTTGAAACAGTTTTTGCTCATATCATAATAATGTTCTTGAGAAAGTTATAAATCCCATCTCTTATCCTTCTAGATAAGGGCTAAGTAATAGTGTAACTGTCATCACCCTTTGGTCAGTGGTAACCAATAATGTCATTCTTGTCGGCCCTCAAGTTCCTTCAGACCACCATGGTTACCATTTAGCTGACTCTTCACTTGTTAGCACATGATTCATTGTCACTGGTATTGTGATGGTATGCATGGTTTCACTTGACCTATCTGGTATTTGTTCACAACCATTCATTCCTCTGCCATGTTGTGATTTTGATCTCAGACAGTGAGAAGATTGCTGATGAAGCAAGACAGTTTGACAATTTGGGAGCTACATAAAAAAAAAAACAAGAATCCTTTGGAATAAACAATTAATGCATGTTAAAAATGTAACACTGATTTGGTTTATATATATATTTGTTGTATACAATGTTTTTAAAACTTTCCACTTGTAATGACACCGAGATCCACTTTGGAGTCTGCAGCATGTGTTATTTGTAACTTAAATTTCTAAGTTCTTGTATTCAGGGCTGGTACAAAGTCTTGGTCAAGAGGTCTCGGCAAACAATGCGAATTCCTGTAACAGTAGTTTGAAAACTCTGTGTGTGTGTGTGTGTGTGTGTGTGTCTCTCTCTCTCTCTTTCTCTCTCTCTCTCTCTCTATGTATCAAAAATCTCCAGCTTCATATAAGCTGGAGATTTTGGATCTGGCAGCTATGGGTAAAAATAGCAAAAGATAGGTGGTGGTGTCTGCAAGCGTACCCTCTAAATGCTAAAATATGATCAGCATGCAAGTTGGAATAATTGAATTCAGAATGCAGGATGTTTAAATCAACTTTTTGCAATATATGAAGTACATTTTCTACCTACTGACAGTAATCTTTTTAGACATTTGGTGCTAGAGTTCAAAAACAAAAAAAAAAAATAATACAGAAAACAATAAAAACAATAATCAAACTTGGATTTAAATGTCAATTGCCTTTGAGCATAGTGCAGGAAGACAAATTTAAATTTTTTAGTTTTTTTATCCCAATTGACTTTACCAGTCTTCCACAGCTCATTTTCTACTGATAACATCAAAGAATCACTTTTTTCCCTCTCAAATTTTAGAATTTCATAATAAATTAATGGAAAGAAACCTGGACGAAATTCCAGTAACAGTGTTCTCATAAGTACTTAACAGAATAGTGGGGAGGGGCCTTTATTTTTTATTTTTTGAGGAGATTCTCCAACCCTACCTCAAGCATATTAAGACCACTCTGTTTTTTAATTTTGCACTTTTTGATCCTTTACTTGTCTTTCTGACTCTTCCTTTTATTAAGACCCTTTGTTTACTACATACTGAGAAAGATTTTGATCTCCCAATTATAAAGACCTTCCTTTTATTAGGCAATTAAGAATACCATCCAATTTTCTTTCTTAATATTCCCTGCAGAAATGAGAATGAGATCTTATATTCCATCAAAAATGATAACTTGTTAACTACCACTCCATAATAAGACACTCAAAGATATTTCCTAATCTTATCTTAGTATGGCACAAGATCATAGTGTTATAACATGCATATGGTAGCATGGAAGAACAAACAAAACAATAGTACTGCTGGTGAGGCGAAATGAAAAGAATACAAATTGTAAATATAAAATGCCTTTGTATTTGCCAATACAGCAGATGCAAGCAGAATGTCTCTATGTAGGTAAGGTGTGGTGGCTTTGAAGGAAGGGTAAGTTAGCAAGCACTGCATTTGGCAGATTTGTTGGGTTGGTTGACCAAGGTCATAGTGGACGATGTCAAGAGAGGCCTGGAGTGTGATAGTGAAGCCATGAATTTGATTGTACTGATAAAGAGGATGTGAGTGAGTTGTCTATATATGAGCATGGTATAAGTGTTTGGAGGAGGGTGGGTCTCAAGCAGACACATGT